CCTTTTAATAGAGGAGCAGGGTTGAGGTATTGTTTGTGGTACGTTTAGTCTGGGTTCGTATTCCTGCGATATAGGTTTAGCGGCAGGGGTGGATAACACAAACACTAAAGGTTCCTTCTCTTTTAGTCCCTTTTGCGTCCATGGGTGGTTCTTGACTTCCCCATCTGTCTCAGGGGAGTCAAACATCCCTGACGGAGGAGAGAAGAAATCTTATTGTTGGTCCTCCACTTCTGTCTCTTCAACATCCGTGAGTACAAGACCTCCACAGTCATTGACTGGGACCAAAATCTTCTTCTTATTAACAGTTGTTGAGTGAAGTCTTATTTTACTTCTCACTTCAGTTTCGTCGTCAGCCAGTGCTTCGTTGAAAATCTCGTTGTTATAAACCGAGCATGCATTTTGGTTTACAAAGAGCAGGTGTGCGAGTGTTTCCACTGCTCTGTCTGTCTGACCTGGCGTGTTTGGGGTCACTGTGTGGGGCCCTGGTACTGAGGCTACCCCCTCTTGTCCATCCTCTTGTGAAGTTGGGTGAAGGGGGGTGGGGGGGAGGGGGGTGCTGTTGGGCGTAGGGTTGGCTGAAGGGGGTGGTGTTTGCGATTCTTGTTCTTTTCTTTGTTCCCCTGCAGTGTTGCTTGTACTCCTCCCTCCTCCGCCTTCTCCTCATGTTTTTTCTTGTTCCCATTCCGCTTTACGCCTCTATCAACTGGAACAACAAGAACCAGCCCCCCCTGCCCTCGTTTCTTTGTTACCTATCGTCTCTTTCTCCTTCTCGTTTTGTCTCCAATCTTTTACAACCACCTTCTTAGCTACCGACTTTGTCTTGGTTTTCTGTTTTTTTTTCTTCCCCTTTGCAACACCCTTCTTCATCTGTTTGCTTATCGCTACCTTTTTCCGCAAAGGCATCTTGCATTTCTTCATCAGGTTGGGAGGGTTGTTTCTCCGCCTTATCTTTGCCTTCATCCCTCTTGGTAATATCTTTATCCTTTTCGACAAAGCTTTCCCCCTTCTGACCGCGAAGTGGGCACCTCCTTCTCATTCCCTTTATCCCCTCCCACGTTCCGTATGGTGCAACCTGACGGTTCCTTCCGCTCTTCCTTTCCTTTCTCTAATCCTGTCGGGGTTGGCTTTGTCGAGCATGTATCGTCTCCCTTGGAGTGGAAGTATTATCTGCATGCCCGACACATTGGTGTCTGGGCATGGATAACTTCAATTTTTACAAAACCACCTGATCTCATGTCAATGATCAAATAAGGTTTATACCTAACCCGGGCTCCTGGTTCCAAGTTGAATCGGATATTTGTCACATCGGGTGAAGTCGGTTCGGAAAAGGTTTCATGTTTTTTTAAGATCGTACCAAATGTTTTTTTGACAGTCGCTGCCGCATAGGGCAGTGTTGCCACCGGAACATGCATGCACCGAATCCATAAAAATTGAAAACGATGTGCGTCCCTCCACTCAAAAAAATCATTTTCGGATATCCAGGGGCGAAAGGAGATGATGTGGGTCACTTCATCCAATGTTATTTTGTCTTCCTTCTTTCGCAGCATCCATTCCGCAATGATTTTAGACGAGGCTACGTACGTAATTAGATTAAACCCCTCATTATGGAATATTCCCCTTTTGGGAGGGGCATTGATGGATCCACTTCTTGCCCAAGCATCTTCATACATACGAATAAGCCGAATTTTGACGTTCATCGGCAGAGATCTGGACCTATTGATGAAAAAGACAGATACAACATTTTCGTTCAGCCATTCTTCCTGGATTGTGTATAGGTGGGGGTTAACTACGACACAAACAAAATCCTCCCCCACGTGTATGCGATCCAATGAGAGTTCCTCCAGGAGAAGACCCTCGTTATAGCACTCGACAAGGATACCCTTTATCTTGTCCTTCTGCACTTGTGGCATCAGTGGAGGAAGGACTGGGATCTTGGGATCCCCCATGATTGCTGGGCGAAATGGTCCAGAGGCCGACGCCCCACAAACAGAAAAGGTGACTCGAACAACTAAATATAATACTAGGTACCTAAATTAGCTCTTATAGCCTCAATAAATAGGAATAAATACAGTCGGGTAAAGTCACTCCCTCGGGTGAGAAATGCAAAAGGGATGGAATTACCCATCAATCGCTCCTGGTCAGCAACAGTATTTTCATTTGGTGAAGATCGCAGGCCCCGATTCCTGTGTGCCATACCCATGAAGTTGATTTTCCATTGAACCGCGTCTGGTCTCCACATATCCTACGCCTCCTATTCTGATTGCCACTCCCGGGTCACGAACTTGCCGTCCACTGGGAGAATCCCGAACCAGGTCTTGTCTCCAGCCACCTAGGAGGAAAAACTCCTTATCGCTGCAAATCCGGTTTCCAATACGATCTTTTGCTCACCCTGTCGATTCGTCGTGTGATACTCTATAGGTCTTCCCCTCCCTGCCTCCCCTCCCAACACTACCATCCGTGCCCTGTGCGTGAAAACCCGCCTTGAGTCAGATGTACATTGACCAAAGGCGCTACAAGGGAAGCAAGAGATATGGCGACCGCCCCTGCTGGCTTGATCTCTCTCCTTCAACTCGACGGAGCAGCTAAAATTAACCCCAATCTCGATTAAGCACGGTAAGCGCCGCCGAAGCGGCACTTACCGCACGCGATTAGCGCTAATTTTAGCGCTCACCATTTCTCCCTCAGTACCCACCCCTGCTACACCCTTCTCAGCCCTTTTAGAAAGTGTATATGGTCACACCATGAACCTGGATAAAAAGGCGGTGTGGGACACGCCCAGATTCCGGTAGGGCGGGCAGATTCTCTCTGAGGTAGGCTTGGCAGATTCTCTCTGAGTAGGCTTGGCGGGTTTCGGCGGGTATTGGGGTATCCAGGGGCATTTCAGGGGTATTCAGGGGTGTACAAAATACCTTGGGTGAGTCCCACTCGGCGCCCTATTGCTTGTAGATTTGGAGATCGTTGGCCAGAAATGGAAAACGCGCACAAGAGGGCAACACAATACCCACCCTTGCTACACCCTGCTCAGCCCCTTTAGGAAAGGAAGCGTGCACGGTGACACCAATTGCAGAATCTGCCCGCCCGCCCCGCGGATCGCACCCGGCCCTTTTTCTGGTCTAGTTGATGATTGATTTGGCGGGGCCTGATGGGCCTCGTTCCAATTGTGCAAAAGAGAATGAATGTTTCCGTAGATTGTGGAAAGATCCATTGCCATGGTTTTTGTTTGTGTTTTCCCGTTTTCGTTTTGGCGGGCCCCTTTTGTTCTTTTTTTTTTGAGCCCTGGGTGAGAATCGTAGTATTTCACTCATCTGGGGCGTGGTCCCACTAGCGAAGAGCATCGGATCGAATGCCTGAATCTGGATGACGTTATGGAGATGTGCAGGAAATCGAGATTGAACTGCTTTTCTGCATCTCTGCATAAAACACATCCAGATTCAGGAGTTCGATCCTATCCTTTTTGCTAGTGGGACCTCGGCGCTGCTTATATTGGGGTTCGAACTCCGGTCGGGCATTTCAACAGTTCAGAGGTGTACCAACTGGCGGACCTTTTGTCACCTGCGTAGGTAGTGGGCTATTCGCTCCACTGCCGAATCTGGACCTTTTTAGCATCACGAAACATTCAAAACGTTTGATTAGTCGGAATGAATCTGGTCGATACGTAGCATTCCGGATACGTGTAGAACGTTGAGCAGTGGAGCGAGGCCCAGCCTCTGGAGGGCCCTGTCTCTGGAGTCTGAGGCCCAGTCCCCAACTGTTACTACGTGTTACTACGCTCGTGCTAGAAAGCCTGAACCTGGTCGTATTGAATGGCAGGTTCGTTTCTTCTTTGCACGAACATTGCCGTTCTCCGAATTGTAGAAGAAAGACAAGAAAAATTGTAGCCCCGCCCGCCCAATTTAAGTACCCGAACTTCTTGGATAGAATCTGGCCGGTATTTTCTATGAGATACATGTCGGAAATTCCTCGTGTTATTATTTAAAAAAAGAAAAAAAGAAATTCCTCGTGTGCATACTCTTCTGACCTAAGAAAAGAAGAATCAGGCGAAGGAAGCCCCATTGTAGCACACGTGCTCGAGCGTTTCTCTTTTTACTCTGTTTTTTCTTGTCTTTTCGTTATTTTACGCCGCTGACGACGAGAGACTCTGTCTTCGTGTCTTGTCGTTATTTTGTGTCGCTGACGACGAGAGCAAGACGAAAGCCTGCCATAGCCAATTATTGTCTGTCGACGATAGCCTGAGTCCCGCCATAGCCAAGCGAAAGTCTGTCGACCAAAGCCTGAGTTGCCATAGCCATCTCACATCTCTCTCTCTCTCTCTCTCTCTCTCTCTCTCTCTCTCTCTCTGAATTGACGTCTCAAGACGAAACTCTGAGTCGCCATAGCCAATTGACATCTCTCTCTCTCTCTCTCTCTCTCTCTCTCTCTCTCTCTCTCTCTCTCTCTCTCTCTCTCTCTC